TCAACTTCTTCTTCTTGAACCTCATTAGAGTCAATTTCTTACTCTTTTTTGTAGCCATCATTAATTACAAGGTTACATTTAAGAGCAAATACATGGCCAATTTTTTTATTATTATTCATAGTTATCCGAGTATCCAATGCTTCTGCCATAATAGCTTCAACTTTGACTTTGCTAACATCATCCTTTTCCTTCACTTTGTCTTTCTCCTACCATTCCTTTGGTATTGATATATCTCCAAGATGAGCAGAAGAAGGCACCTTCACTAGCTTTTGCTCGTTATTAGCTTCTTTATTATTTGGAGACCTCTTCTTGCTTCCAAGTTCAACAACATCTTCCTCATGAATAGCTCTATTTTTTTTTTCTTCAACCATGGCATCATACAGATCATCATCATGTTTGTCCCCACATAAATATGCTTTAATATTAATAACATCAATTGGATCATTCTATCCTGTCATTTTTTTGATAACTTCAGCTCCCTGATCATGACTTTTGTAGTTGGTAAGGAATAAGCCTTAACTGCTTTTTATTCAATTGTAATAGAATATGACTCGGCTCCTTCTCCTTATATAGTATTATTCTTTGATATTTGCTCATTTATTAATTTTTTCATGCCATCCTTTCTAAAATTAATCTTCAAAGATTCATCTTATCCTGTGAGTCTTATCAAAACCTCCTTGAAATATACAATACCATCCTTGATTATAGCCTTATAGTTGTCACATTTACCATGCTTATGATTTGAATTATCATACTACATATATCTCTCCAAAAATTTCTTTGAGCCTTCGATATTCTTTGATGAATTTGCTATCTAGGATTTCTTCAACTTAGTCATTTCCACCTTCAAATCCAGTATGCTTTTAATTAATTCTTCAAGAGCATCATCTTTTACAATCTTCATCATCTTTTGAGGTGATACTTAATTCTGAGATGTAGGTACTGGCTCTAACCTTGATATTAAACTACAAGTCTTAATCCTTTGTTCTTTAGCCAAAAGTCCCATTGTCTCTTTTACTAGCTTCCAATTATTTGTAAAACCACTCTCAAATGTCTTATTTGCTAGATAAAAGAGAAGCTTGTCTTCCAAATATTCATTAGTTGCTTGCAAGAATAACTCAGTTTTCTTTGTTTCTAATAGTTGCCTCTCTTGCCATGGTAATTACCCAAACTTGGTTTCAAATTTCTTAATTAATTCATTTGGAGCCATTTGATTCCCTCGCCTATGCTCAATCTATTCCAAAAAAATCTGTTTTGTCATTCTTTCTAAGTCTTCCTCAAAAATCTCATCTTTCAAGAGTTCTTCAAATTTCTTCCATGATATAGTCTCAATATGCAACTCTTGTATCCTCTCCCTAATTTCTGATACCACTACCAAATCAAAGGTGGTAATCATCTTCATTTCTGAAACTTGATGCACCTCTATTTCAAATGTATAAATCTTGAAGAACTTAGTGATGTTTCTCCCATCAAAACTTCTAATTTTATCCACCACTACTTGTAAAGCTTTGATGGTATTCCTATCCTCTCCATGCACCTATTGCCTTTCTTCCATAAATTGAGTAAATGCCCTAAATAAATCATGGGTACCTATCTCATCTGCTAATGTAAACCTAGGGATTTGATCTCCCATCTTAACTTGTTGAAATAATTAGTGCCTTAAGACTCTCTCAATGGAAGTTCTAATATGTCACGGTAGAGAGAATTTGCCTCAAAAAAGCGGTGGAATTCTGGCTGCCACTAAATATTCAATGAAGTCTAAGATATTAAAGTACCAAATTTATATATATAATATTTTTCCTTTTTGGGCAATTACATCAATACATAAGCCTAAGTACCAAAAAAACACCCAAATGTATGATAAAGTATCTTAAAACCTTACATATCCTTGTAAGAAATGTTTTTTGAACTTCAATAGCTCATATCTCACGATTAGACTATCCAAAAAATCTAAAATTTTACATAAAGTACTGATATATTTTCAAAAACTACTACAAAAAAATTCAACTATAAATTCGTTACAGATCTTTAGATATCACCAAAACCCTAACAATAGCTTTAAACCCTAACTTACATACACCCACATGCTATTTTCTTCATATCTCACAAAATAAGTATTCAAACACCATGAAACTTTGATCTATTGATTCTTAACCTAATAACTCACATTTACAAAGAATTTGAGCCAAAAATTCATCCAAAAACTCAAGATATGGCTCCAACCATTACTATCAATAAAATGACTCACTTACTCCCTTTGAATTACATGTGTTTTCTTCAATGCCCTATAATTCCTTCATCTAGACTTGAAATTTGTCAAATAATATATATTAAGTATAGCTAAGAAAGTGTTTTCTCTAACTTTAGTCACCGACCTTTCATTACTCTCCGTATGCATATGTTATGCTTCAAAGAGTGACAGTAGATACAAATTTGATACCTTAACTTTGTACACCTATATCTCCTTCACGAAAATTCGAAATCACACAAATTCTTCACCCAAATTATACCCAAAACCCTGAACTTAGTGACCTTAGCCTCCAAAACTCAAATGACTTCAAAAAAAAAACCCTAATCCCTAATAGGGCCTCGGGCAGCCTCCTTGAAGTCCATTGGGCATGGTCTTCGACCAATAGGAATGAAGATCTCCATTCCTTGTTTTTATCCAACCATGCCTTGCTTTCATGCCTTCCAATAAGCCTCCTACTAGTTAAGAATTTCTTCTATAGGCTCTAATCTCCTCTCAAGGCTCAGACTAAGCATTTAGGTTCTACAATTTTTTTGAAATGTTATAATTAAAAAGATAAAACTCAAAATAAAGTTTCTTAAATCCACTCTCTTTAAATTAATCTATTAACCATTCTAACATACACCAAGACTTATGAATATATTATATATTTTAATTAATTTTTATATACTATAAGCAATTATAGTACAACACAGGTTGATTAAACCTAGATCTAGTAGAATTAATAGATCTAATTGCAAATGTCCATACTATGAATTAGCAATAAAGATGGATTTGATTTTTTTTCAAAGCTAATATTTATTGCAACTATTTTTTTTTTAGGATTATGGAACTAACTACTACACATACATCTAAATGTGTTGAGAAATTGTTGCAAAAATAGCAACAAATGTTGCTGATTTTCACAATCTTAGAGACTCATAAGACAACCATTAATTATTAATGCTGGCAAAAAGATTCCAACTTTTCATCTATATAGATGAATAAAGCATAATCATTTATTGTCATCTATATATTTTAAAATAATCTTATAAAAATTTATTTTTTTTTAAAAAAAATATCTATAATTTCTAAGACTTTATAATGAGTATTGAAAGATTTTTTAAAAATAAATAATCTAAATTAGAAAAATAATATATCAATATAAAAGAGAATATTGATTTAAAAGTGAATAATTTATATCTCTAAAATGTAATGATATTCTTACAAAATTGATATAATCTACTTTCTTAGTAAATTTATATTTTTTTTAAAAATTTATATTTTTTTCTAAGAAAGTAGATTATATTAAAAAATATAAATTTTTAAATTATACTTTATATTTTTTAAGAAAGTAGATTATATTAAAAAATTTATTAAAATATATATATTTAAATAATCTATTAGAAAATTATTAAATAATCTATTAGAAAATTTATACTTTATAAAAATAAATAATCTTGGCAAATTTTTGAAAGACACAAAAATGAAAACACAACATGTTAAAAAATATAAGAAAATCAAGATACTAGATTAAAAAAATATTTATTAGACTAAAAATAAAATAATACTATTTTATTTTATCTTGTTCTAATTTTTTTTTAAAAAGATGGAGGTATTTCTTGTTTTGTCCACTTATTTAGATTATAACAACTAAGATTTAAAGAAGCTCCTAGAAGAATTTCTTAGAATTATTAAATATTCTATAAGTTTGTATAGACTTTTGTACTTATGTCTAAAACTTGTGGAAGGTTTCAAATGGTTATAGAAGTATATGTAAACATCTAAGATTTCATTAAAGACAAGAAAAGAATCTTAAAATTTCTAAAAGTATAAAATTGAAAAAATATATTATAATAAAAGATTATAGAAATTTATTTTAAAGTAATTGTTGTACTTAGATTTGAAAACATATAGACAAATCTTACAAACCAATATTTAAGATTTGATGCAAATGATAAAATTGACATGTAAAATTTTGAAATGGTATAATTTTGTTGAATGAATTTTAATTTATTTTGAGTGATTCTGATAGTGGTCAACATAAATAAGTATATATATATACATAACATACATGTGAAGGAGTATTGTGTACTAAAATGTAATAACTATATTGAATCATTTGGTTGTTCTTCATAATTAAGTTTAATATCTAAAAATAATCTAGATAATTTAAAAATTTTAAATTTTAATATTATATGTTTTGAAGATCATTAAATAAATAAACTAACCACTCAACCTTGTCATTTTAAAATTTAATATTGCTTCCTATAAATTCAGTCAGATGTCAATACAATCAATGAGATTTAAAACCAATTTATCAAACCATTATAATATTTAAAATCCAAATACCACTTTAAAAAATATGAATACATTAAAAAATAGTTTTTGCATGAGGAATTCCTTAGAGAAAAAAATAAAAAATAAAAAAATTAGTACTTCAACATACATATTTTAAAAATATCATAATAATATATACTGATTAATTTTTTTAAAGAAAATCAATAAATCCACTCCACAAGGGAGCAATAAGTATATTAAAGAACATTACATACGATGGCATTTTAGACATTCTGAAACAATCAATGTACTGGTTGATTATCATGCTGATATTCATTATAAATGAAATAAACTGTAATAATCAAGTCCTAAGTTGTAACACGTACTTGTTCCTTCATTCACTTGTTATTGTTATTGTTATTACCGTTATTTATTTCGTTCGTTCGTTGGTGAAAATTGGTCTTCAGCATGCCGGATTTTGTTTCTTCGTGGTCGTGTTGCGCATGCAGGAGCTCCCCCCTCAACCCGTATTCTGTTTTGTTTCTTTTCCCTGTCCATGGTTTAGGGTAATGAGGTGTTTGGGTAGTTAGTATCATGCAGCTGAACTCTGAAGTCCAACCATGCAGGAATGCTCGCTTGCGGCATCGGGTGATGAGATGATGGGAACAGGTGTAAATGGGTGTCGACAACGTCGTGATTTCAAGGCTTGAATTTCTCAGCGGCAAGATCCAAATGTGAGAGATTTGTGGGTTTGAATTCTTGCCAAATTTCAGATCCTGTGCACAGCTCTATTTGATGTGATGAATATGCGAGAAGCGCGGATAGGAGCATCCAACAAGGAGAGTGCACAGTGATGTTCCTCCAATTCATAAAAGATCGCTGTAAGTCGGAGTAAGTTGAGTATCTTCCGGCCTTTTCGTGCCAAAGTCAAATCTAATTAGAGATGCTAGTACAAGGCTGCAGGTAGACTAAACGCAGAATGTGAAAAAGAAGGGCACTGTTTTCTTGACGTGGCGGAGTCTTAGTTTGGGTTGCTGGCTTGCAAGCAATGAGAGCATGCATGCGATGGTCCACATTGCCCTCCACCCCGTCCCCTCACACTTTCATTAAAAATATTCTACCCTCAACCCTTTCAAGCTTTCTTGAGCAGATTTCAAACGAAGAGGAATTGGTGTTTTCCTCAACCAAGGTGACACAAAGTGCGTACGGTCACAGTAGCGAGTGTCAGGAAATCGCGTTTCGTGAAGGTGGAACTTAAGAATTACATTTGGTCACCAAACTGTAAGGTGAGCTTATCGTGGAGTGGGGTCTCAATGACTGCTGTTGAAAGTGAGGGATTAGTGACGTATTTGGTGACGATGCAGCCCGCTTTGAGTATCAAGCGGAAACTTCTACCGAAGGTCCGTTACTGCGAAGGTGAATCCAAACGAGTGGTCCCATGATCACAACTCAAAAACTGACTGGCGATCTCGCGGACGACGGTTGGAAGGGAGGTTAGTAGCTGCCCAGGGTTAGAATTGCTTATGTCGAAGTGACAGATTCTATGATCACAACGACTAGAAGAGCTTTGTAGGATTTTAACGAACTCTGTTTTTCTCTCTTATTCTTTCTCTGTCTTCAATCTTTTTTTCAAGTTGTGCAGCCGATCGGTTGAGTGGTTTGGGGATTATCTTGCAGCTTCAGACGATTGCAACATGGAAAATTTAAAGAATTCGGAATCTTGCGATCCAAGCTCTTTCCTACGGCATTTTCGGAAATCTTCCGCTACGCCTGTGATGCTATTGCGTCATATTGCTCAGGCCATGGCGACCGAGATGCAAGAGGGTCTTGACCATCCTGGCGAGCGCAAGCTGAAAATGCTCCCCACGTATCTCGAATGCTTGCCTACAGGGTATGTATCTGCGATTTGGGACTCTCTAACGCCTCTTTGAATTATCACTTTAGAGCAGTGAAATTTTCACAATGTTGGAATTTCTAGCTCATGTCTGTCACAGAGGAGTAGCCAGAATTTGAACTTTTTATGCGACAGTCATTGAAAAAACACTGCCACCGAGTGGTGGCTGCAACATTTTGAAGGTTGTCATCAGGGTGAGAAAACAAATGTCAAGTCCAAGTTTCAAGAGTTTTAGATGCCTTGCTTAGACTGATCAATAGGTGTGCTTTTGACAAGTATCAATATTGCACATACTCATATTTGTGGATGCACAATTGTACCGCCTAGAAATTGCGCACAAATGACACCGTGCGTTCGAACATCCCTGGCCCAGTTTACTTCCGGCTTAAGCTATTACAGAGTGTTGCTCCAGCTGAGTGATTGAAACATGGCCTCAGAGAGTAAGAAGGCATGCAATTTTGTGAGCTTCGACAGCTTTGAATAATTGATTAGAATCTCCTCAAATGTACAACCCAATAATTCTTGTTGAATGCAATGAATACAGGAATGAAAGAGGGTTGTTTTACGCCATTGACTTGGGAGGTACTAACTTCCGAGTATTGCGAGTACAACTAGATGGGAAGGAAGGGCGCATCCTGAAGCAGGAATCCATACAAGTTCCCATTCCTCAAGAAGTAATGACTGGAAGCAGTAAGGTAAATACATTTTGATGAGAAATATATATATTTTTTTACATATATTCGCCAAAAAACAATATTGAGGGTTTATCTCTCATTCAAGCTGATCATGATCAAACCGTGAAGCTTTAACATGTCTACTTTTTATCAGAACCCTGGAGATACTGCTGACTGGACTTGTTTGGTATATGTGATTTGATGGATTATAGGATCTTTTTGGCTTCCTTGCCAAGACTATTGTTCAATTCGTATCCAGAGAAGCAGACCTTGGCTTTGAGTGTGTAGCACTCAATCAGAAACGGGATATAGGCTTCACGTTCTCATTTCCTGTCAATCAAACAAAAGTCAACGGAGGCTCTATCAACGCATGGACCAAAGGCTTTTCCATCAGTGATGGGGTGCGTTATTGAAGTCGTTTCTTGCTTCCATCTGCCAAGTACATATCGCTGTTTACTGCCTGTTATCGTCTGTTAACAGTCAATCTAAAATACGCGCCAGTATCAATTGTGATTTTTGAAAGCATGAATTAAGATTAACCCAAGGGTTTCTACCATTGGAATATTTTTTTGGGTTTTGCAATTTGCAGGTTGGTGAAGATGTAGTCGATCAACTAGAGATAGCTCTTGCAGATATGGGCTCGGTGAATACGAAAGTTGTGTGCTTGGTAGGGGTTTGTTAATTCTGCAAAACACTTTAAATAATTGTGTTTTCAATTGTTTCGTTCTAGAGATAAGCTGTCTTACTTAATACGTTTCTATTGGAAGTGGCTGATGTTGCTATTGTTTATTACACGATCAGAGTTTAACAAGCTCTTCCTTCTGATGCAGGTTAATGATACAGTAGGGACTTTGGCACAGTGCAGATACTGGAACGATGATGCAATGGTGGGCGTCATTTTGGGCACAGGATCAAATGCCTGCTATGTTGAGCGTGCTGCAGCCATATCGTGCTGGAGCAGTCCTCCAGAAGCCGATGATTTGACGGTCATGCCCGTGTCTTTTTTATAAATCGTCAAGGACATGGTTCTGATCAAATTAGCGTGAAAATAGTGGAATTTATTTATTAAAAAGCATGTCAGACTCAGCCTAACCAAAAAAATTCATGCATATTCTCTTTCATGGTAAAAATGGTGGAGGCGTCGATAATCGTATTTCACTCGAGTTTGTCGATTCTGAGTTCGCAAGTGTACATACTGACAAAAAAGACACAAATAATATTGGTGAGGGACAAATTTGAGCTGAATGGATCTTTTGGACTAAGTAATAAGGTTACTGTGATGATGCAGGTTGTAAATATTGAATGGGGCAATTTTTGTTCTGAACTTCTTCCTCGGACGTTTGCCGATGAGGGGTTGGATGCAGATAGTTTGAATCCTGGTCAACAGGTCAGGAAAAAAAAATTCAGTCAAAAACTTTCCCAAGCAAGCAGAAGTTTCCACTTTTTCGAAGACTTGCCATGTGCATCCTATGTCTTTCATTATTATGAAGCTTAAAATTGCAATAGTTAGAGTGCTGTAAACAGTCTACTTGTGAAGGACATCGTGAAGCTTACTGTCCGTAGACTTGTAACCAAAGTTCTGGACCTTGTAGGAATTCGAGAAAATGATCGGCGGTATGTACTTGGGTGAAATTCTTCGCCGTGTGCTGCTCAAGATGGCCGAAGATACAGGCCTGTTCGGCTCGGAAATTCCAGAAAGACTGACGAAGCCTTTCAGCCTTCTGTATGTTTGCTCAAATTCAGCCATTGCAAATGTTAGCATGTCTTATGAAATGATGAATCAGACGTTTGTTACGCACTACAAAATGGTTCTTCGATGAAAACAACACAGATGGTTATTCCTGGAATTCACTATCTATTGAATATGACGACATATGTAAAGGGAACTTTTTCTTCTGTGCACAATATTAAGCTTTTTCTGATCTACAGGACTCCTCACATGTCGACAATGCACGGTGATGATACTTCTAGCTTGGAAGTGGTGGGTTCTGTGATTGAAGAAGCCATTGGGGTAATATATCATCTCTTGATTCAAGATCTCCCAGTCAGTTGCAAGTTGTTCACCATAGTTGGAGATAGATCTTGTGCCCTTCCATATTCCATCAGCTGTTGTGATTCTTACAGAGTTACGGGTTTAAACATAGTTTTATTGGGCATCTTCTTCTTGTCCAGGTGAAATATACAACGCTAGCTACACGGAAAGTCGTGTACGACGTGTGTGACATCATTGCGGAAAGAGGTGCTCGACTCTCAGCTGCAGGGATTGTGGGAATCCTGACGAAGATTAACAGATGTGGAGATTTAATGCTCAGTTGCCTCACTACACCAAACGACACTGAAGTAAAAAAGACAGTTATTGCCATAGACGGTAGTTTATATGAGAAGTACCCTAAGTTTCGGAACTACATGGAAGACGCCATGAAGGAGATGTTGGGCGAAGACTATGCCAACAATGTGACAACTACACTATCCAAAGACGGGTCGGGAGTTGGAGCCGCGCTTCTTGCAGCCGCTATTTCTACTGAGCTACGATTGGGCGACGTTGGAGTCACCAAGTGATAGAAAGGACATTGTTAGATACATCCTGTACATTGCGTAAAGGTCAGGCACCCTCTAATCTGAACAATGCTTTAGTTGAGTGAAAGTGAGCGCCATTTTACACCGTCTAGGATTGAACATGCCAGAGCTGTTTGAGCGGGAAAAAATTGGTCAGAGTTCTGATGACCACAGGAAAGAAGTCCAGCATGTAATGTGGGTTAATGCGCAATGGTTACATCAAACAGGACTGTTTATGTACGTAATGTGCACTTCCAGCTGCGGATTTTCAGCTGAAGTGCAGTCACAGCTGATGGCCTACATCACAAAAGTGAACCCTTGAAGTTACCGCAAGTATTAATGTTGAAGCTTGAGTATCTAACTCAGCAAGTATCTTCTTCTCTTATTTCTCTGTTTCCTTTTTTCTTCTTTTTGAAACAACTGGGGTATACATGCTACATTGATTTTCTAAAGAGACAACATCGTTGCATAAGTTATGATAAATTGGCAAGCGGCAAGCTCAAGAGTGGAACTAAGGCACAAAATAACTTAACATATAACCAGCGGATGATAAGGCCATTGCTAGAAACTCTATTGTTTTAGTATATTTTGATCCCTACTCTACTTCTTTGTATTGTTTTGACATTTATGATCTATTCCATTATTTTAGAAGTTTTATTTTTATTTTTATTTTGATAAAACAGAGCATTTCAGTATTTTCTTTTGTGTATTGTTCTATGCTATATGTCTTTGATATTAGATTAATTTGCTTAACTTATTTTGAATCATTTTGGTAATTTAGTTCAAATTGAAGTTTCAAAACATTATCTTATCTACCAAAAGTAAGATCCTATTACTTATCATAATTTTAAATCATAATGACATTGACTTCTAAGAAAAATAGAAATTAACAAACTACAACAATTTTTTAAGAAAGTTTATTAAATGTATGGGCTGCTTTTATTAATACAAATTACAAGTTTTTTTAATGAAAAATTGTGTCCATAATATGAGCAAATATTTTTATTAGTTATACTTTCTAAAAGATTTTTTTTGTGCTTATGTAAAAGTTTAATGAGTTGATTCTTTAATAGATAATTTAAAAACCAAAATGGTTATTATGAAATTAAGAAAATTAATATATCTAATAATTTTTTTTGTAATTTTAGTGCTATAATATTTTTTTTAATTCAAATTAGTTACAATAGAAAAAGAAAGATGAATATAATATATTCATTATCTTTTCTTTGTACCAAATTTACAACTTGTTGTAGAAAAAAGAGGAGGCATACAAAATAAAAATTATTTACCTTCTTCTCTTGCAACTAGCTTGAAGTTTGCTACAAGGGCAAGGAAAGACATGCATAAAATTATCGTAGTAATATCTTAGATCTTTTTTAATTAATATTTACAAAGTGTAGCAAATTTGATTTTCATTTAATAAATGAGTGTATAGGGATTTAAAAAAAAAAAAAAAAAAAAAAAAAAAAAAATGAACTCTTTTTATAGTCTCTCTTTAGTGGAGGTAATGGGAACAAAATCCTTGTAGTATAGAGTATGTCCTAATTGGATATTCAAGACATCTAATAGATAGTTTTTTGAAGGTTTGAAATTTTTTTGGTTTACTTAAAATAATTATAATTTTATGTATGTTGGTTTAGATCTTAGAAAAATGATTATTTTTTGTATTGAATTATATATATAATTATATCTTTTAGCAATATTTTTGTAATCAATTTGGCTTAATAAAAAACTAAGCTATTAAAACATAATTATAGTTGGCAAATCCTATTTAATGGATAAAAAAATAAATAATAGATTGATCAATTAGATTGATCAAAGCACAAATTTCTTCTTTTGCAACCAAAAGAATGGACCAACCTAATTGAATTGGTCATTCTTGATATTTTTAGAAAGTGATTGTATAGATGGTCCATGTTGTTTTCAATGAAAGCCTTGCTTTAGAGAATTTCTAATGTGGATAAACCAAGGTGAATTTAAAATAAAGTAAACTAGAAATGTCAAGCTATAATATCATAAATACATTCTTAGTGTCACATTTGTTTCTCATAGAAACATCAAACCAACATCAAGGTTTTCAAATGTAGTTGTCCATAGATGTTCTTAATAAGCTATCACTATAGTTGTATATGTTTTGATAGCTCTAAATTATTCATGTAAGAGATCATATATTCCAAATTGGTTTTTTCAATATCACTTTCAAATAAGTTTGTTATGCAATTTTATTACATAAGATAGTTGATCCATTGTTGACCATCTATCCATTTCTAACATATAAGATAGGCTATTTCCATTATATAGGGCAACTAGATGTGACATCTATTGATTGGAAATATGTCGAGGTTGGTTAAAATGATGTTAAGCTGTGAGCAATAAAATTTATTGTACTTAGAATGAATTTGCATGAACTATCAATAGGTGCCAATTATTGATTGGTTGGGATAGAATAACAATATAATTAGGTGCCATACTTCTTTTGATAGCATTAATAGGTTCTACATATCACAATTTTGTAAAAGTTGGATTCTTCATTTTATAATCCACTACTAATTAGAATTAGGTAGGCCTATATTTCCAAAATGGATCAAAGAGAATCTTCAGCCATAACATTTATATAAATTCCATTTTTGGATCAAATTATGTGAAAATACTTAAAATCCTCCTGATTCCTATTTTCCTACATGAGGGTATTTTTTCCATTTTTACACCTACTTGATATATAATGAAATGTTTAAGTTATTGGAAATGGATTGTCTTGTTTAGACAACAATATTTGTGAGTTGAAGTCATTAGACTATGCTTCAATTTCCTCACTCAATTGGCATCAAGTTTGTATGTCACTGAAGTTGTTTATTTGCAACTTCAGGATAAAGAATTATAGAGAAGACTCTTCATGCTGGAAAGAGAACGGTTCTTAAATTTGAGGATTTCATTTGAGTTTCATTTGGGGATTTCATTAAGTTGGTTGCTGGTCAAATATGATTGGGGTTCTTTTCTAACCTAGGGAAGTCATTTATCGCGGCCTTGATTGTAGGACTTCGTGAAACAACACCTTCTAAAACAATCAAGCTGAAGATCTATTTCGGCTAGTATTTTAAGTTCGATTGCGACGTTAAATCCAGATTAACTGTTTCATAACTTCTGACCTAGCATTCTTTCTACGATGATTGATTTCCAGTTTTAGTGGAAAACTAATACAATTCATATCCACTTGAGGATACATATTCAATGAAGAATGTCATAAATTTACACAATCTAGTTCCACTCGTTCTCTTCCAGTTCATGGACACCGCGTGGTTCTGGAGCGCCATCCACTAGATAAATCTGCTTGTTTTCTTCGTCTACATACATCATGTTTCCCATGCTTTGAATCATGTCACCTAATTTCCAATATTCATATGCTACAAGTACCAGTGGTCGCCCTGTCAGCTTGCAATGCTCTGAGCTTATTTGGTCTTTGGGAACACCATGCGGCCAGTAAGAATGCAGAATTTTGTACAAAATGCAACGCAGATCCTGCCTGCTAAAGTTCGTCCGCAATTTACGATCGTTGGCATTCCTCTGCCAAAAAGATTGCCCAAGCCAACCATCGCACAAAATCAACAATGTATGGCTATCGAGAGAATAGAGGTAAACTCACATACTTCAACAAGTAGCAAAATTGAGAACACGAAATATTTTAAGACTTGAGAGATTAGTCGCTTTGTTCACACCTTGACATAAGGAAATACTCTCCAATCAGCAGCTTCGGAAGAAATATTGCGCACTGAGACTAAATCTGGCATCGACTGCAAAACGCTCTTGAGAGTTGCAAAGCCATAATGTGAACTAACCAAAGGATGCCCCATCTCCAATTCATAAAGTAATTCAAACTGCTCGAATGTCATAGCTGCCTTCGGTTTCCCCTTGCAGTATTTGTCAAGAACAAAAGCCACCTCACATCGCAGATGTCGCAACATCCTAACCCTGCCTCCAACGGGAGCCCAAACTTTTTGAGACACGGGAATTTCGATATTGCTCCCTATATCTGTACATGTCTCCTTCAAATTTAAACATTTTTCACAAAATGAGCGGCCATTGGGTAAAGAATCGTCTTCGGACTTTCTACCGAAAATGCTTAGGGCATCCTCTGTGATGGTCGTATCCACACATGTAACATTCTTGCTTTTACTTTTCTGCATGAGCAAAATACACCTGTCGGATTGTGATGAAGGTACAAAACGCACATTAAGACAAGAAAATACCTGCAATATTGACATGAAAAACCATCTACACTAAATTAGATGATAGTCACGTACCTCCCTGTACCGGAGGTCACTTGCTATTCCTTTGTCAGGACTAAACCCCAGTGTCTCCACATCTTGATTTTCTTCTACAATATGAGACCTTTCACAGCTAGATGGTGCGTATACCTCTGCTGAAAAGTTGTGCAACAGCCCACACATGTACTGGCAGTGTAAGCGCAGGTAAAATACAAAACCAATGTCAAGCTTCAGTTTCTTCAGAGCGTTAATTGAAAAGTGAGACACAACTTATCTTGATACTTACCTGAGGACTCGTATTTAAGAAGAACATTACACGAACTTGATGCATCCCAACCTTGGAACTCGAGACTGTCGTCCTCCTCGATGCTAACTTTCTCCGTAGATCGAATGAGGTGGCGATAGCTGCTGCTTATAGAGTCTGAGATCTCCATCATTTCATTCCACTGAATACTAAAATCTGCGGCCTGTGCTAAAATTGGAGGGATTTTCTGATGGCCATTCCCAATCACTACCGTAGTGATCTGCCTGCTACTAAGTTCCCGCAGCAAAGCACAGAACCCTCTATCTCCAGTTACCAGCACAATTCCATTACCTGTTGATGCATCGACCTCAAGTGGCGGTGTGTCAGACTCAAGACATGGTTTATGATCGTATCCAAACAGCAAGGCGTCCATAATTATGGCTTTGTCAGCAGATTCTTTTCCATCAGGCACTGGACACAGTTCAACCCCCATCTTCAGCAAACTAGGTGCCTGTAAACAACCACAGGTACTATCAGAAAGATTCTTCCAAGCTAATCATAATTGCAATGGCTGTATAACTCTGTACAAGATGGATAAAGGGGAGTATTAACGATTAATTCCTCCTCATCTCCGTGTGTCAAATTTAAGTCTCTATGTGCTGAGTTGTGTGTACATAAAAAATTTACCCGTGCTCCCATGCACACACGTCAATGCTTGAAGTCTAGAGTTCCTCTTTACTCCTGATTCGGGATTAAGCACTGTTTCTATCAAAATGTCCTCGTGGCCCAGGGACTCTACTTCCGATTTAATAATCTTCAAAAGTCACTAACATGGCACAGAAAAGTGGTTCAGATGTTGCATAGGAGACCAACCTGCCGAGTTAGATACTCAAGCTTGCCATACGCACGAAGACATTGTATTGTTCCGAAAGAATCACCTATCTTGTGCATCTGCCTCACCACCGTCCGCGCATCAAGGCCTCCCGGAATGGGACAGTTTTCGATGTCCCAAAAAATTCCGACCCTGCTTAGTTTTGATCTTTTGGGATGAATGCCATAAGCGAAAGGAGAATCAAAATATCGGAGCCGCAAACGTGTCACCCAAAGCCTAATTGCATCCGTGATGTACAGCAATTGCAATGCACAACAGAGTGTGAGTGCCACCATGAAGGAAGATCTTCTGATGGCTTCAACATCATCAATATCGCTTAATGCATCGTCAGATGAAGGGGAAAGGAATGAGGTCGGTGGTGCGTGTGACGGAGGGGACAAATTGCTCCAAACTGAAGATTGCCCTAAACTTGTCGACCGCGTGAGGGGGAAGGAAGGGGCGGACTCCGACGATGCCGGTACATGCTTGTTCTTACTTTGCTTGAGAGAATTGAGATCAGGTTTCGTTCCTGCTCTATCTTGCCTGGATATATGATGTTCCCCAAATGGTCGCTGCGGTAGCGTTGATGCACGACATGGGTTCAAACGGCTTCGCGATGAAGGTAGCTTCTTCTCTTTGTTGCTTGCTAGATGTTCTGAATTCCAAGGTAGTTGAGTATCGAACAGCGAGGAAGATGGTCTGCCATTGAAGAGATGCCCGTGATAGGACAATATGGATGCGTAACTAGTGGGAGAAGGAACTACTCGTCCCTGGAAAAGAACGAGTGCCATGGCTATGGCTTTCACTCATCCCTGGCCCTCTTATTCAACCTCTGATTCTTTCGGCTCAAGATGAACATTCAATAAAAAGTAGGTACCACAGAGATTTCCTAGTGTTCTGAATGCCTGCCAAGTGAGTTTTGATTGTTATAACGTCTACTTCCTGTAGGTTTTGGCTTCACGAGCCTTTCTTTTAGATTGATGCACAACAAACGGCTTCAAGTCCAGAATCCCGTCAAAAACAGCCAATTACTCTGATAATTCTCCCATTCACTCTCCACCTATCTGCACAAGGCATAACAAAAGCCAAAATCTACAAGTAAAAAGGGAGCTGCTACCTGAAGCATCGATGCATCAATCACAACAAACCAATCCTTGCGCATAATCACAGCATTACTTCAGCTCCACATGAATTTCATGAACCTATGAAAGATTAGACTCCTAACCTAAAGAATTAAACCATGCAGGAACCACGCAACATACTCCAACCGCTGAAAATCGAGAGACATACTCGGGATCCCTACTTGCCCGCTCAAAATTGACCAAAACGAAAAATCAACTCGGTAAGAAAATCTAGCATCCCTCAGTGGAAGCGATCGAATACTTACTTCGGACGATCTCACGCACAAAACCTGACGAACTCGTCGACTGCACCTCCAGACGTGAAAGATTCGGCAACAAGCTCCACACCGCTGCGATCGAAAGAAGCACACACACACCTAAAAACAGCCGTCCGCACTCCACCGGCTCTGCGTTCACGTCAAGACACCGTGGCCGCACCTCACCAAAGCATCGTATAATTCGGGAGAGATGCTCCCGCACAATCAGTAGCTGCGAACACGTTCCTGTTTTCCATCTTTCCACACCGACGGTGCGCAGGGGTTGTCTTTCACCAGGCGAAAGCGTCGATGGATCGGATCCATTGAGTCTCATGCACCTCATCAATTCCACCTCTTCAGAATTTGGTTCCTCTTCTTTCTTTCTTTCTTTCTTTCTTTCTTTCTTTTGTCCTTTCGTTGCGAAGATATTGATAGAGAGCTCTCTCGCTCTTCGCATCGACGGGCGAGATGGCACCAAGGGTTCTCACTCCAACCACGGCGCCACACTTCCTCGGTTACGCTTCGCCTTCCCCTTGGACACTAGCCCGCCCTCTCCTCCCTCATGTCTAAAGCACTCCTCCCTTCGCCACCGTTGCTATTGTTGCATTTGAATGCAACAAGGTTCTGAACGTAAAATTCACTCTTCAAAGTTAAAATAAGGGGAATTTTTATTGGATAATAATTTGATATAAATAAAAATTTAATAATTAATTATAAAATTTTGATACTAAAAGTTTTTTTGATAATACAAAGGATATGTAATTTGAAGTTATTATGAATAAATTATAAATATATAAATAAAATTTATAATTTTCTATTAGCATAATTATCGAGGATATAAACCTCAAAGAACTAAAAGGTCAATACACTCTTGTGTTACTAAAAAAAAACCATAAAATCACTCAAAGATGATATAGTATTAAACTAAAATGACTATTGCCAAAGGCAAAAAGACTAGAAAGTCTTAAAATAAGACTAAGGACTAGAAAGGTGTTCGCAAGAGTGAAGAAGGCTTCACTCTTACCTCCATATATACTATCTATCTAAGAGCTATGTGGTGATGTTTTATAGGACATCTAAATTGTATTGACTTTGCAAGACATGTATCTTAACTTGCAACACAAGTTTTCTATATATATGCCATGTAGTTAGCTTGTTTTGCAAGCTACTATACTTGATTAACTTATTGACCAAGCTTCTAACCTAAAAAAATAAACTATGAATATATATAAAGTCAAAGTAGTGTTTATGAAGCTTTTAGGAAGCTTCTCTAGAAAATATTATGAAATAAATCTATTTTTCTCCACTTCTACTTTATCATATATGTAAATATTATAATAAATATGTATGTCTATGACAATAAGTTTATATTTAATTAGGAGTTTAAACTCCACCTAGGCTCAAAATGTAGCATAAGGATTTTAAATAAGGTTATTAAAGCCAATCTTATACAAGTGCCTACATCTAAAGTACTAAAATCTATACAAACTAATACAATTAATTTCTACTAGTTTTTAGTTAAAATATATTTTTATTTTAAAGCTAATTTTAATAATTTTAACTTTATTATGGCTTTTAAAAACACTAAATTAAGTAAAAATAAGTTAGAAGATGTTAAAAAAAATTCTCTACTTCTTAAAAAAACTACTATAATTATACAGAATTTTGGTTTATTAATATTTAAAATATATTTTTATAAATTTTTAATTTTATCTAAATAAATTTTATTATGTATTATAACACTTTTGAAATTTCAATCTTTTAAATAAGAAATTCTATCACATTTTTGTATTTTTTTCAAGTACTTTAGGGTATACAATAGTGTCAACAAAAATGTATTGAAATTTGTTAATATTTTTTTTAAAATTTAATTAATGGCAATTAAAAACAAAATAAAAATACGAAGATATTTAAAATGATAATAAAAACTAAAAATAAAGAAATGTATTTGTGGAAAGATTTATTTTTAAAAATATACTTAATTAATAGTTTAAATATAAATTTATTTATTTTATACTTTAAATTTTCTGTATATAATTTAAATAAAGAAATCATGTACATACTTATATATATCTATATATATAGAGAGAGATATATATATATATATATATATATATATATATAATTATTGAAAAAATATACATATTATAATAGAAATAATTTATAAATAAATAAATAAATAAATTATTAATATTTTTTAATTAATTTTTTATGCTAATTCTTTTAAATTTTAAAGTAAAAATATAAAATAAGATAATTTCAAAATATATAATTCTAATTTAGTTTAATTGAAATATACAAAAAAAATCAAATAACAAAAATAAAAAAATGAAATGGATGTTAACATACATTTAATGAATACCAAATATATATATTTTAAAAACTTTTTCTTTCGTATATACTTCAATTGCATGACTTTTTCACTATAAATATTTTTACTTCTTGAATTTGTAAAATTTTAATACTATACTTTATTAAAAATTTTATAAATATGTTTCAATATACACAAGTCTAAATTTTTGATCATCAAAAAAAAGTCTAAAAAAATAAATTGAAAATAATATAGTCATAAAATATGGCTAAAAAATTAAATTAATATAAAGTGTATATTTAAGAGCAAATTTTGTTTACACAAAGCATGTATAGATTAATTAAAGTTTAATGCTTTTAGATTTAAGAGATATTAGTATATAGATTATAAATATTCATATATATATATATATATATATATATATATATATATATATATATACATAATACAAAAGAACTTAAATTAATGATTATAATAAAAAATAATTATTAATTAATTTTTTTTAAATTTTTTTAAAAAAATAAGAATTCTAATTTATTAGATCAATATGCATTAATATCTTACTTTAAAAAATTTCCAGATATTATAAAATATATTATATCTCACATTAATAAAATTACATAATGATATAAGTTTTTTTAAAAAAAAAAGATGAAAGAAGAATTTTTTTTTAAAATTTTTTTGACATAAAATCATGTATTGTATATAAAAACTCTAAAATAACTTATTTTAATTAAATTTTAAAAAATAAAAAATGATAATAATGCAATGATGAAGGTGACACTCAAATTTAGGACAAAAAGTTTAAATATTAATATATATATTATGTGAATTAATGTATCTAAAATTGATTCTAAAATTATTTTAAAAAAATAAAATTCTAATATTTTTTTTAAAAAATCAGTTGAAATTATATATATATATATATATATATATATATACTATGATCCACAATCTAATTCATTTTATAAGCTTCTTATGGCAACTTCAAATTGAAATAAAACTTTTTAGTTAGTTTTCAAATCATTCTAAGGAAAGTTGAAATAATACAGTCTTCTTGATCAAGTACTTTGTCAATGCTAAAGAACAAGAAACTATAAACTTGTAGTAAACATTTTCTTATGAATAGCTTTAGAAGTAAGTATATGTTTTCTAGCTATAGCCGATTGAGGTATCATATATCAAAGATAAGAACTCAATAAATGTTGATAAACAAGTGAGGTGTTTTTCAAAGAAAGATGAAAATAAAATAAAATAAAATAAACAAACAATAAAAATCTATATCTATTTATTCAAGAAAAAACTAAAGTAGCTATTGCCAAAAGACATGAAAACTAAAGATCCTTGAAACTAAATCAAATGCAAATAAAGAGTTGAGAAGAGTGAGGAAGACCTCACTCTTGTCTCTATACACACTACTTAACTAAGAATTATGTGGCGATGTTTTATTAGATCTCCAACACGTGTCTAACTCTGAAGACAAGTTTTTTGTATGTATTCCATATTTCCATCTTGTACCACAAGTCATCAACTTGTGCAACATGTAGCCAACTTATTGGCTTAGTTTTCAACCTATTAATCACCTATAGACATGTTTAAAGACAAAGCTATGTCTATGAAGCTTCTAAAAAGCTTGTTTATTAAATATTATCAAATTTAATTACTTTTTCCTACTTCTACGAACTAATATTTTCTAATTAATTATTAAAGTACCTAGGGATGTTTATTATATTATGTCTATAATTATTATGATATTTTCAACTTTATTTGAAAACTATCATTTATTTAAGCTACTTTAAGTGGTTTAACTTTCAATCATCTCTCTTGTTCTTTTGGCTTGTAGTCTACAATTAATGTTTTTTCAAAGCCACTACAAAAGATAAAGATAAATATATTATATTTTTTAGATTTTTGTATGAAATAGGATAGAAAAAACCAAAAGAATAAGATTCTAAATCATTTTTATTTTTAATCATAGAAATTAATTAATTATTTTAAAAATATATTTCTTATTTCAAATTTATTATACAAGAAGTTGGTGGCCTTAGGATTATAAAAAATAAAAATGGTAAGAGGTCTTCAATGGAATTGAAAGACTACGCCCATTTTTCAAATAATATTACCAAAGTCTTCAATGGATTGTGTAGTAACTAGGTTTAGGATAATGTATATTATTTTAAATTAAGATAATATATAATATTAATAATATTTATTGATATCATTTTTTTAATATAAAAATTAAATATTAATTTAAATATATATTATCTAAATTTACAAAGATATATTTGCTATTGAATTATTTGAAATCTGTAAATTAATAAATTTGTTATAAATTTTTATATCTGCAATTTTAACAGAAATATAAGAAGGAATTAATATTGCACAAGCTAAAATTTATTTAAATTAATAAAAAAATTGTGGAAATATTTTTACTCACTATCAATACTTAAAACTTTAAGGATTATTATATCTAAAAGAACCAGATTTTAATATTTTTCATATGCAATATATTATTATATTTTGGAATTGTCTAAGATCATTGCAAATACTTCAATTTTGGGCTTAAAAGTATTTAAAGTAAAGACTCATTCAAAAATCAAAAAATGTAAAACCTCAAACTAAAAAAAATATGTTTATATACCATTAAACAAGATATTATACATATTATGATTATAATTATTATTCAATAATAGATATTTAATTTTCAAAATAATTTTTAAAAACTACATAGGCTTTGATTGTTTCTAAGATAATGTTTTTAATAATATTGGTAATTATATTAGTAATTCTAGTATATTTAATCATTAAATAAAGAATTTTATGTAAGAATATAAAATACAT